TTGTGGAAGTGGAGTTGGACGGATCTGTCAGGCTGCTGGACTTGCTTGGCATCATGAGAGACAGCATGATGACAACAAAGGACCAGATCAGAACGCTTGAAATAGCCCTCAGAAGACAAGGAGTAACAGTTGCAGAGAGCAAGATGTATACTCACATTCGTTTTGACAAGAAGGCAGAGAAGGGTATCAAGAGTATCTTCAAATTACTGAAGCAGATGGATGACAAGTATGTCTCATGTTGTACCAACGGCAAGGACTCATGGATGGTGACCGAGATTCTGAGGGAAGCAAGAACAATCAACATTTCCCTTCTCCAGTCCATCTTCAAATTCTTGTCCTTGCCGAGGCCGCAAGGCAAAGCTAGCAGAAGGTCTCTTATCTCAAAGGCATTGCAAAAGAGGAAAGTGGCCTGTGAGGGCGAGCAAGAGGAAATTGAAGATAATGATAGGAAGATACAGAGGGCACAAAATCAGTTGCAGACATTACAAAACAGCATCGAAGATATTGAAACAGGATTAGAATGCTTATTTAGAAGACTAATCAAAAATAGAGTCTCTCTTCTTAACATCCTAAGCCTGTAATGATCTCAACAGCCTTTATGCTCGCATGCCCTCATTAGCATCTGCATTTTAGAGGAACTGCTAATGACTGTATATTGTATCAATTTTGTAAAAGAGTTACAATGCACTCTATATTGTTTCCCATTTCCAGTAGTAGTGATTGACAATAATTTTTTTCCCTATTCTTTTCAGGGTTGCTTTTAAAAATATGTGTCTGATTCAAACCATTTTTAATAAGCATAAATGTAAGAATTTCAGAAAAATGCTTCTAATAACTTGCAAAAAATACTTCTACAACCTGAGCTCAAATTTGGATTCATCATGGCTCACCAGAGCTCAAACGTTTTTTGGGTGTTAAACGTGATCTTTGTTACATAATTCAATTTTTAAAGAGCCATGTTGGAATATGGCTAACCTCAATTCACTTAGACCTGCGAGCAGCCGCGAAGTAAACTCATGAATAAGCTCTCTCAAGGACATAAATAAGCTTAATAAAAAGAGGTCATGACACATTATGTTCTCTCAAATAGTAAATTCTAAGAAACATATTTGTGGAGGTTTGATCAAATGGTATTTAGATTTAAAATGTGACAAATATGATATTAGAGTAACAACCACATGCAGGACCTGCACATCATGGTGAATCTTAGGTTAGTAGAGCTAAGAATGAGACATACCAGGTTGGCCACAGCATGACCATATACACAACTTCTTTGTGTTTCATGATGGAACCCCAACTATATAATACTTTGGAATCTTTCTGTTCTGCAGAACATCTTGCCATTGAGATCACTCCTGGATGTGCGTTGCTGACCATATGTACTCAAGGGCCATTATCAACATGTGCACACTCGTACTTCACCTAAAACATATATGTGCAGATCCAGCAAACCACCATAGAGAGTGGTAGATTGTTGGGCAGACAAGCAGCCATACTGCATCTGTGCATCATAAACAAATACTTTAGTTGAGGAGTTAATATATTCTAATGCCGTAACATATGTCTTGATCAGATTCTTTGTGTGTTTCTGACTGCGTTGAACCATGTAATACTTGTTAGTCTCTGCTCTTGCACCTTGCTTGTAATTGATTGGACATGACATGTTGGGTGATAAACAAAGTGCCAGGAATCCATTTCTTCAAGAATTGCAGAAACAGAAATGATCACTAACCTATTTGGAAGATGTCAGTAAAAGAATTACAATGCAAGCCAAGAACCACCTTGACATCACGTGGGATAGCAGCACCTAGCAACTCACGAAAGAGTGGGAGAATAAAGAAAAGAAATACAACTATTCTTGTCGTTTCCCATCTTACCAACCTAAAGATGGGGATGTTGTTGGCTTATATGCAGGGGAGCAAAAGAATGAAACCCCACACACATTTCCTTTCCTCTTCTTCAGTTGTTATGCTGATATGCGTTTCAATATATTCAAGCGGTTGAGAGAGATTGCAGCTGCACAAGAATCAATGAGGGGCTTGTTCAGTCGCCATGCAACCAAGCCTTCACTTTCACATGCAGTGGAAATGGCTGGAAGATGAGTTGATGCTGGATTTATGTGGTAATTCGAAAGACAGCGTGGCCACAGTAAAAAAACACATCCACGATGAGATGATGATGCGCTCTAAGAAGAAGTGAATGCTCACATTCGCTTTGGTAAGATGGCAGACAACAATGTGATGTAATTCTCGAGATCACTGAAGCAGATTAAGGGCAAATGTGTTTATAAGGATTGTGACATACCTATGGTGGGTAGATTCTCTGGGGAACGGAATCCAATCACAACTGCATCTGCTTCATCTGGTGTCATCTTTCATGACAATGCAGACAGGGAGATTGAAGACTTGCAGGTGGTCGTTTCTCTTCAATGCACTGAAAAAGATGTTACGTGCCACGCGACAGGAAGTAGAGGGATGGAAATGGGACATATCATGCTTCTTTAAAGTACGTATCCTGCAAAGAGTATCATGATTATTATTACAGGGTAGTGAGTTCCATAATAGAATGCAAATGCTAGAGCATAGCACTGAAGTTTGCGTGTTCACGCAGATCATTCAGAGCATTGTTCATCTGCTTAACTACCTGGGTTCAGAAAGGCATGACGATGTACACTATGATCAGCATGACAATTTTAGTAGATTACCATATCAGCCTCACTCCAACATTTTGTATAGCAATCCGTATTCATATAAATATCTGATACAATAATTTCAATACTTC